TATATATATATATATATATATATATATATGAATATAAGTTCAACAAAATATTATGCATTAATGATAGAAACTTCAAATGTATATAAATATACATATAAGTTCAACAAAATATTATAAATCGCTAAATGATTGAAATAAATATCGTTCAAAAAAGTGTGGAAAATAAATTATAACAAAATATAATCAAAAGAAAAATTATCTCAAAGTAAAATGTAGCTTTCATGTTAGTTTGGCGAAGATACCTAGCTTGTGTGATTAAATATAAACTTCAATTAATCATCAAAAGTTAAACTTGTTACCTGATTGTATATTGGCACTGATTCTCTCTTTCATGAGAAATTTGTCTTTTGATCTTAACGAATTAAAATAAAAAGAAGAAATAACCTCTTTTAGAGTCAATTCTAACATTAAACCTAACCTCTCTTAGTGACACTATCCCTGTTTGTATCCCTCCTCCGTATCCTCATGTTTCCACTTTTGCTTGTAAAACAATTTAGTCTCAATCTTTAACTTGCACAACATTACTATCTCGATGTGTCCTTGTGCATATCCTCTCAATGTAGAATATTGTAATGACTTGATCTAACATGTTTTCATAGACTATTCTAAGTGGGCCTTCAGGTAACAATTTAAATCATTTTATTAGTGTCACATGCATATAGTCTAGAGTATTTGTATCCATTGCATGAACATATTGATTATACAGTGAATGAATGTGAATTGTAAATATTACCTATCTTGAACTATGTAATTATTGGAAGGTGCAATTGCTATTTATTGATCTATGAATGTAAATGCACATGTAATGCTTAATGTGTGTTGCTACCAACCATAGCTTACACCGATAATCGAGTAAGATATTTTTCTCTCCCTTTTTCTTTTGTTGGTTTATGGTGTATGGTTACAAGTGAGGTTCATCATGAAGATTATGAGGTTGGAAATGAGGTTTAAACCTTATACCAAGGTTACTCTAATAAGTTATGATATCGAGCAGTAACTAAGAGTTATTTATGATCAAGTGAAATTATACTACGATTTAATATTAGTTCATTGTAATTACTCTTTGTATCTTAGTTTTGCTTGTTGTTTAACTTTTTTTTGTCATCATTCGTAATATGATACCTTTACCATGAGAATTTATCTTATCCGGTAAGATTATTTTGAAAACTCTTTTCAATTATTAATGAAATATATGCTATGCTAGTATGTGGGGTAAAAGGTGTCATAAACAACTGCAATTTTTCATGCTAACAAGATGTTGAGGTGATGCTTCTCCTCCACCTAACCAATTCTGACAAGCTCCCCTTCTCCACTGAAGTTGTCACCATGTGACCCTTGGGAGGGAGGGCATTGATGGTAGGGGAACTCATGAGGCCCCTCCTTTATGTTCAAGAGTTGTTGAGATAAAATTATTAGAGAAGGAAAAATTAATCCCGTATGATCAAGTGTAAATAAATTTTATCAAGTGAGATTAATCTAGTGGTTATAAATCATGGTCCACTTAAAAAGCTACTCCACTGATGGCATCCTAGCTTGCATTGATGGAGAGATTTGATCAATGAGAGGACACCTTGACTCCTTGGATCAAGTCTCTCAAGGAATGGACGGAAATGGAGAGTGTAGGTTAGGTGTTTGATGAAAGGCTTGAGAAAGGTACTCTAGGTTTGGCTCACTCCATGGGTGATGAAGGTCACTTCTAGGGTTTACTCTCAAGGAAGGAGATAGGTATGGTGGTGGCCGAATTAACCAAGGGAGACTAAGGAATGATATAAAGGCACAAATGCTCTCTCTATTTTCAACACCCAAAGTGATTACATGAAGCAATACCTAGGGTATTTATAAGTGTGGGGTGACACCAAAACCCTAGGGAAGTGTGACAGTTAGGTCATCTTTGGGTGATCATTCCTTCCCTAAATGAGAAGGAAATGCACTCCAAATGACACTCAAATGATCCCTAGAAGGTTCCGTCCATTTACCCTAAAAATGGGAGCTTTTTGGGTTAAGCTTGACTACATCTAGGTGCATGATGGGAGAATGCAACCTAGGTGCCCTTCCACTTGGGTCAATGCTCTTCTTAGCCCAAAAGACCCATTATTGTCATGGCCAAACACTTATATTACCTAGGAAATAAAGCCCTAATTTCTAAGTGCCCCAAAATACAAGGACAAAATAGGAAATACAAAGAAAATAAATTCTAAGTCCTAAGCACCTCAAAATACAAGGGTAAATGAGAGATACAAGTAAAAATAAATCCTATAACTACGACACCCCAAAATATAAGGGTAAAAATGGGAAGTTAAAGACAAGGGCAAAATATGCATAAAAATAAATTCTATGCTAACAAGGTTTAGGAGACTGATTAGTATACTTTAGCCATGAGAAGCATGTCTCTAGGGTGTTAGCTCCCCTATCTTCTTTTAATCTCCTAGCCATGGATCTAGTGATGAGTCCTACATGAAGCTCCAAAGATAATCCTCCATCATCCACCATTTGTCCTCATATATGTCTATAACATCTATAATTTATAGTAATATATAACCACGATGAATTTGACTCTTTTAAAATAAAGAAATTACACTTTAGAAAATAAAGTGAAATAATAATTATTAAATAAAAAGTCAATGATAATATAATTAATTTTAAATTTGATTTTAGAAAAAAAATTTATTTATTACCATTCTCGATCGTTGATTTTTTTAATCAACATTATGACTTAATTTTATCATCTAAAATACACTCTTAGTTTAGAAGAACTATACGCTTTTGATATTTGCTTTTGAAAAATAATTATACTCTTAACCTATATTTTAACTTTTTACACTAATATATCTGGATATTCCATTAATAATAACTACCTGTTTGTTATTTTAATAAAGTATGAAGTTTTTTTTCCCGCTAATATATATAAAGTAATAATAAATAATTTGTATTAAAAATATAATATTTATTAAGATACTCCTCTTTTAATTAATATAAAACATATTTTATATAACTATTATATTTATTTAAATAATCAAATAATTTTTTTTTATATTTCTTATCTCTATTTATCAAAATCACTATAGTGGATTTAATAATAATTATTTTTAGTATTTTACATTTTCGTATGATATCTTATACTCAAGATTTGGATCTGATTGCTCTCATTTTATACAGATGAAAAGAAGAAGAAAAAAAAATCACATACCATATATTTTTTATTAATATCATTTTATTACTTTCCCATCTGATTCGTTTCTTCTCCGATTCACTCCCATGAATATGATACGTGTATCTTCCAATGAGAAACGACCACGTAAGATCCAAGGTTTGACAAATCACAATTGCTGTGCAGTGTGCACTGTGCAAGCTTCAGCAGTAGTAGTAGTTGGCTTTGCGCCTTGTTTGGTTGGCAACTTCAATTACCATAATTATTATTATTAATCTGTTTTCTCTCTTCTCCACCTTCTTCGCCCATAACCTATTCACCGCTGACCTAATTCTTCTCTCACTATGATGGTGAAACTGAAACCCCTTCTGCATCTCTCTCTTCTACTTTTCGTGCTCTTCTCTTCTTCCACCGAATCCCTCCGATTCGAACTCCAATCTGGCCACACCAAATGCATCTCCGAAGACATCAAGAGCAATTCCATGACCGTCGGCAAGTACCTCATCGTTAATCCCAGCGAGGGCTACCCTTTGCCCGATTCTCACAGAGTCACCGTCAGGGTACTGCAAAAGATAAAAAAATCCCAACTTTTTCGTGCCCAGTGATGAATCGGATCGTGTTCTGTGGTTTTTGGTTGATGGGTATTTGTGTGTTTGATTTCTTTTGTTTTTGTTTCAGGTGACTTCGTCTTATGGGAACAACTATCACTACGGGGATCGCGTTCAAAACGGGCAGTTTGCGTTCGTGGCAGTGGAGGCTGGAGATTACATGACTTGTTTTTGGGCTGTGGATCACAACCCCGCCTCAACGTTGACTGTGGATTTTGAATGGAAAACGGGTGTGGCAGCCAAGGATTGGTCTAATGTTGCGAAGAAAGGCCAAGTTGATGTGAGTAGACTAGTCACTACACTACTATGTGTCACTTAACTAGCCCTCTAGATAAATCGCACAATTAATTTGATATGTCACTTAACTAACCCTCTAGATGATGATCTATCACGCAGTTAATTTGGTTGTTGTGTATAGTGGTGTGTTCATGTGTTGGGGTGGGGGTAATTTTGGGTATTTTGATTGGTGAACTCTATTATGATAGGGTTTATTTTTATCTTTTTCATTAAGAAAAATGATGTTACAAAGACGGCTATTAAGTTTGAAAATAAGATCTTGTGTGTAATATCTCGAATACCATTAGGTTGACCCCAGTGGTTCTAATAGGTTCCATTTAGTTTGCTGCTGAAAATTTGGGGGGGAAAATTGCGGTTTGCAAGATTTGGTTGTTAGTTGCATTTGTGGTTTTCTAAGGATATCTGATTTGAACTAAATTCAGTATTACTATGTGGCTTTTGTCCTATGCCAATATTAGTTGAGGCTAGGATATCTTACAGGGTACTTGATCTGGTTCTTGATTAGTTGATTACCAATTTTTACTGAAATTGTAGAAAATTGCAGCTGATGTAGCTGTGCCTCCAAATCAATGGTATTGTAGCTGCAATTGTAGTTGAGGATTGAAATTTAAAACCTTGATTAGGAGTGTTCCTGGATTTAGCATGTATGTGCTTTTGGGTGAATTTCAAATTGATAAACAAGTTGCTCTAGTAGTTTTGGTTATCAAGTTTTGCTTAGTGATCATGATTCTGTTACTCGAATACAGCCAAGGAAATTGAAGGCTGCACTCTTTTAGTCCGCACCCTAGCTTTAGCCCCATATTACTGATTACTAATTTGGAGGGAATGTATCATATACGAGATTTACTAATCTAATCTAATCGAGTAGTGTCTGATTCAATCTAAAGTATTAGGACTAGAGAGTACCCTTACTGGTGAATTTCTAATCATGGTAACCTTACAGGCCATCCTATATTTCTAATTATGGTGAACTTGGCAGTATGTATATATTGAATGGTAACCACATATAGTCCTTGCAAATGTCATTTGTATGTAAATGATTTTCCCTGTACTTGCAAAATTTTGTTTGCTTCTGTAACATTTTTTATCTGTTGACAAAATTGGCTTTCATGAGTGATTGCTAAAACTCATTTATTTATCCTTTTGGAATTATTCACCCTCAACATCTCTTTTGTGGAGTTTACTGTAATTCTGTTGATATCACTAAAATCTAAGCCATATTCTTGAGCAAATCAAAACCTACTCAAAGCTTCCCCATCCCATGACTTCCACCCATTTGTCATTTGAGGCATCAACAAACTCATGATTCTTTGGTTTATCAATTTCTTTGCAAATGTAATCTTTGCTGACATAATGTTTGATCAAAGGAAATACGAAATTCTTGCATTGATTTCATTCACCTGTATCCAGGTAATGGAGCTAGAACTAAAAAAGTTGCAGGATACTGTTTCTTCCATTCATGAAGAAATGTTTTATCTTCGAGAAAGGTATGTCGCAATGACGAATGGCTTGAAAATTCGTAATTCAATACATCGGCATGGGAAATTATAAGGAGTGTTATTTCTATTTTTTCTTTTTTGTAAATGATCAAGAGTCTTTTTTAATAAAAGCTTAAAAGAGTTTTTTTTGAGTTTCTTTATTGGAAATAAAGATTTTTTTTTTCAATAGAGAAACTCTGAATACTTTGTGATGTGGGATACTGAAACAAGGACTATTCTTACTATTGTTTTGCTTTTGAGTTTGCAGAGAAGAAGAAATGCAGGAACTCAATAGAACAACCAACAGCAGAATGTTCTGGTTGAGTTTGCTTTCGCTCGTTGTATGCTTATCCGTAGCTGGGTTGCAACTATGGCACTTGAAGAGCTTCTTCGAGAAAAAGAAACTGATTTAAATTTTGTGACAGTTTTTACAATTTTCTTATGTACTCTTGTAAAATATGCCGGCATTAATTTATCGAGTGGATACGCATAATGGTAGTCAGTATAATCTCAGAATATTTCGTTGTTTAACGCAAATCAAAGTTATGGCAATTGGCAACATGTTTCAAAGGAAATGCTGACGTTCTTCAATCTTAAGGTCTTTTTCGTTTTGTTGTTTTAAATAAAAGGCCATTAATTAAGCTAACACGAGTTTCAAAGGAAATGTAGTTTTTGCATATTGATTATGGTTTAATTAGTAAAATAAAAATGTTATTTAAACATAAGTTAAGGTTGGGTATTATATAATTTTTGCAATTTTTAAATTCATTATGGCTTAATTTTAAATTGAGTGAATAAATAAAAACTTCATTGAGAAACAAAGTAAAGCACTATCGAAAATCTTCATACATCAAAAGGGATTATAATTTTTTCATGTTAGAAAAGTCGTGATGGAGGACCATTCTTGAGACATCATATAGGGTTTATCACAAAGTTCATGGCTAGGAGAGTAGAGAAAGATGAAGAACACACTACACCAAAAGCTATGATCATCATGTGTGTGAATTTTGGGCCCTATCCTTAGCTTGTTGCTTTTCTTCCATATTTTGCTCTTGTATTTTGGGGTACAAGTAGATATTAGGATTTTATTTTATATTTTTATTTAGCCTTTGTATTATGGGGCAAAATTAGTCTTAGGATTTATTTAGGGACTTAACCTTGACTTGTGAGGTCAAAAGTCCATATTTTTTATTTTCTAGGACTAAGGGTATTTTATACTTTTTGGAGAGATGAAATCCATTTCATTTGAGTTGCATCTAGGGTTCATTTAGGATGCATTTGGACTTGAAATTTTTGGCCAAATACTCCCAAGAAATCCTAGATGCTCTCCTCTCTTTCTATAAGTACTCTAGTCCCTCTACCTTGTACCTACTTTGGAATATATGCATTTTGAGTGAGTCTTTGTACCTCAAAAGCCTTCCTTAGTCTTCTAGGATTCTCATGCCCAACCTCCTCTCCTCTCTACCCTAAAGAGAGTTTGAGTTTCCCTTGAGTGACCTCCACCATCCCTGGTGGAGAGAGCTAGCCAAGAACACTAAAACACCTTCCACCTCTCCTTTTTCCGTTTTCCATTTTCGCGCACCTTCACCTCCACCTTTCCAATATTGTGTTTCACTACCCTTGAGAAAACATCCAGCCATCTACCTTTCTCCTAATCCGTGAAGAAAGAGGGAGCTCTTCCTTGGAAGCCAAAGCACACACCATGGAAAGAAGGAGCCCATCAAGTCATTTGTGCAAAAAAGCCAAAATATTTAAGACTGAAAGTAAATTCAGTTAACTTAAAACATTATTTATGTGTTAGTTATTATAAATTAAATAAGTTAGATATAAAGGTTTGTAAATAATTGAGCTAAAACCTATATTCGAGCTATAATTAGTTTACAGCGGAGTAAACCCTAGGTCCCTAATTTTAGTTCCTATAGCATTGATTTCTTTAATTTTGTTTTTGATAAATGATTTCTATACAAAGCTCTAATTCTAATTCCCTTTTAATGAAATGTTATTTATTTTGATACATAGTATCAATCGAAAATACAGTGGAAAAGAATCAAAAGAGGTTTATTTCTTATCGGTGAGCCAACTAGCAAGAATACATAAATAAAATATATAGGCTATTCTAAAATTAAAAATTAAAAATTATTATTGAGGACATGATTTGAGACTATAAGGATGGAGCAACTCTAAAGATAAAAGAGTAGGTTTCAACTTTTAGCCAAACAAATACGTTCACTTTCTTACTGAATTCTACCCCAATTGAGAGTGAGTTTGGCTACAAAACAAAGATGGTCTTGAATTCTATTGAAGCAAATTGTACTAATTATTGTGTTAATTTTAAGAATTAGACCTGAAAATTTGATAATATGTACATGGTCTTTGGAGGGTAACCAGACAAGCACAGAACTCACTTCCTCCCCGAGCAACCGACAACCACATAGAACTAGAAGGCATGGACTCTATCACAGTATCACTAGTCAAACCATGCGAATGCATGGACTCTTTAAGATTGGGTTCATATATGAGTATCTAAATTTCCCGAGATATAGTAATTGAACAAGGTCCGTATTTCACTTACCAAAAAAGTTGTACACTAAAAACTTTGGAGTAAAATAATGAATTAAGTTATAGTAAATTCATGTATAAATGTAAGATTCTTATAGTCCATGAAAATAAAGACATCGTAAGATTGGAGCTTTTTCACACCAGTCATAAATTTAACACAACATCTTTTTCACATGAATTCACGTGAAATCTGCAAAAAAAAAACAAACCAATGCCAAGTGCAATCCCAAGAAAGTTGGTAGCATCTATACCAGCGGAATTGGTAAGGCATAATACAAGAGGGGGAACTAATAATAATTTTTTAAACGAAAAGATGGAACATAAAGCAAAGGATAGCATGAAATGATCTACTTCCTCAGTTAGTTTGTACACTTGAAATGCTTTAACACTTGCCAACAACTTGCATATGCTCACTTGAATGGAACAAGAGCTTTAATGAAATAAAACTAGAAACCATAGGCAGGCAATCAAAATCACCTTTTCTGTTCATTAATCCAAACAGTTGAAACTTGAAAACAAGTATTGACTTCGCAGGTTTTCCAGTTGGCTCAACCAGTCCATAAATCCGGCAGCAAACCAGAGAATGTAATGGTAAATAATCATCTGAATTTCTGAACAAACTAATGCTATTAGACATTTATGAAGCAAACAAGTGCCAGTGATTATCTGCAGGCAAATTCTCCTTGATCTTTTCAAGTCGTTTCAGGATCTCTATGAAGGACGGTCTCCGATTCATGTCAGCAGCCCAACACTGCTCCGTTAATCTAAGAACATGAAATGCCAAAGTCCATAAGATTACTTATATGATCAAGGCCTGCTCTAAACGAAATAAATGTTTACTTTCTAAAAGCCTAATTTACAAAGCATTCCAGAACTTCTAATTAAATGGTCCCAAACAAAGAAAGTTAAATCATAACCATTATCAACCATCCCTTTAATTTTCTCACAGTCTATCATAATTAGTCAGACTATCAGAGAATAAAGCGTACTGGCCACAATATAATATTATTAAATTAAATAGGGTGAAGTCAGTTATGATTTCCTTATGTTTTAATCCACCATACATGAATAGTTTTTTTACTTAAATTTTAGTACAGAGAGAGTACTCTCTTAAAAGCTCAACTATTAGGTGCAAGCTGAGAATTGGTTATATATATCTCAAACATGGCTTGTTATGTGAAAGATATATTAGGTTTGAAGTTTGAACAACCATAGACCCACTTAGAAGAATGATAACAACACAAGCTCTGGACCATTTGGTCAAAGAGAGCGTGACCCCATGCCAATAACTAGCTTTCATAATAGTGCTAGAAAACAGGATAAAAGAAATGTATCATAAATAAGCGACTTACTCTTGCAATTCAGGGGTATAACCCTTTGCTCGAAAATGTGGCCTGTGTCCCTCAGCAGCGCGTTTTGCTCCATCATAAGGTTCATAACTTGCAAAAGGTGGTTCACCTTCAAGCATCTGCACGAGATAAAGATATCATGCATTAAAACTAGCTTCAAATTATATCACATAAAACTTCTGTATTCTGTATTTAAAGTGAGCAGAATTACCTCATACAAAATCATTGCAAAGGAGTACACATCAACCTTCTTATCATATCTCCGATGTTTGAAAACTTCAGGAGCCATGTAGCGGTCTTTTTTTAACCCCAAGAAGAAGGAAATTAGATTAAGTTTTGCCCAAGAATGGATACTAACATTTTAAAGAAATTCTGAGAATACTCACAGCTCCCAGTTTCACCAGTCATCTTGTATACATCATGAGAACTCTGGACCGTGATAAGCTTACTCAATCCAAAATCTCCAACTTTTAAATGATCGGCACTAGAATTGACTAAAAGAACATTCCTGAAATTTCACAAAATAAACTTCAACATATAATACAAAGGCTTCTTAATTCCAGCTGCATGTTTTTTACCACATAAAATTTTGTCAATCTAGTTTCTTCAATTTGTTATAAGCAATGCATCATGATATACTGTTTGTAGCAGGTTATCCATAATAATATTTTCTTATATGGGTTGCAAATAACCAACTTACCTTGGCTTTAGGTCTCTATGAATAATAACATTTGGCTCATTGTGAAGATAGGCCATTCCTCTACAAAAACAATATTCACAGTGTATATATTAGCATACTGATTAGATTAAGTGAAGCTGAATGTTGACAAATTCTTCTAGATCAATTTCCTAATTCTATTATCTCAGTGTTGATAAAATACAGGATGCTATGAAATATTGAATTTGGCTTAGTTATACAGTGGCCACATTATTTGATAGATAAAGGAGGCTATCCAGAGCCAAATACAAGTTATACATTTGTGATTCATGTTGGTCCAATGAGGAGAGCTTGGGCTATGAGAGTTAAAGAGACTACTGAAAAACTAGTGGCTAAAATTTGTACAACAGTAATGAATAGCAATGGAACAACATGGGTCTACTTGAGTAAAGCTTTGAAAGACTAAATGGAGTAGTTTAGGCTTTGTTTGAAAGTGAAACAAGACTTAATATGAGCCTTTCATAGTGAATAAGGTCTAATTTGGGCATGTGATAGTTTAGGAGTACTTTTATTAGTTAATTATGACTTTTGGACTTGTAATAGTTTAGGACTTCTTTTCATTAGTTGGTTTTGGATTTAGGTTAGTTTCCATGTTTTAAGCTTTAATTAAGACCAAAAGTGTATTTTTTTATGTTTTGCCTGTATAAGGTAAGAAAAACATTGAATTTAGGAGTTGAACATCACTTTGAATAAGAAATTTCGGATTGTCTCCTCCATTGGTGAGAATTTCATTTCTTCCTGGGGGTTGTAAAACTCTACTAGAATTTTAATAAGAATTGTGTAGATTTTTATGATAAGTTCGCCTCCTTTGATTCCGTGATTGCAAAAATTCTCATTGGGTCAAAGTTAATCATTTTCGATTCGTTGGTTAGCATTATTGTGGGATTTAGGAATTACACTCTTACATAGTCGGAATCAGATTTCAATTCAAGATTTTCTTGTGTCCACA